GTTTAGGTTTTTTCGAGATTTTTCAAGATACAAAGATTTCGTCTACCTTTTGTTACTTAGATTTTTTTAAGGTATAATACTATCACTGTTTTTTTTCGAGGTAATTTTAACGTGAATAGAACTTTTTATCACATTTTGATTTAATATCTATTAAAATATTTGTAATTTTTTTAAAAAAGATCTTCATAAGACTAAACTTTTACAGTATCAGATTAATTCGTTTTCTCTAATAATTATTTTTAAATTGTTGAAATAAAGCGATCCAAATAAACGGGAAGAAATGATTGATTTACACAAATAGTAATGCTTACTGCAAAGTTGTTCAACTGGCGTCAGGTGTAGTACTTCCAGGCTTCTTCCTCCATCTCTTAACAGAATTTCTTCTCATTCACATCACGATGCAAAGTTATACAAAATAACTTAAAAAAATACAGTCTTTATCAAGAAGTATATATCTGTTACCCGTTTTGTGTTTCTATTACGTTTTCATTAACTTAACGTGGACTTTTGTCGCATAGTTAACTTACCCTACTATCGGGGCAAGTTGACTACAATGCAGCATGTTCGTATTTCACTTAATTATTACAAAGAAGTTATACAGGAGCGTTTCTGGCATGAAAATGTAGAAAAAGGTTCTCTCTAACATATTAGTACTGTTTAATCATGATAATTAGTTGTTTAAAAACTCAAATGCCGAAATTGTAAAAACAGTGCCGACGAGCCCCGGTCTCCTCTATTTTATCTATATATTAATAAGAGTAATATTTTATATTTATTTGTTAAGTTATAAATAATTTATTAAATATTTTAAAAAATCTTAAAATATAAGCTAAAATATTTTAAACAATAAATAAGTGAAATAAATAAGTTGAATACGACCGTATAAGATATACATTCAAATTACGGAGAGGCCGTTAAAATATTTTATTTATTACACAATGTATTAACCATTCAATATACTATTACATTATACTGTGATCTGAAAACGATATACTACGCAAATAAATAATTATTTCCATTAGTAACAATAACAATTAATAAATAGATTATAAAATGCTCACCTTATCTGTTACACCTGGCCGTCTTCTCGGCTTGTCCTCTTTTCTTCTTTTTCCGTTGCTATTTCTTTGTGGCACTTATATCTGATCTATTTTCTAAAACAAACGAAATATTGATTACTATGGGCGCTACTACTTTTATTCAGAGCGGTATTCTACCTTATATCTAACTTAGTCTGCTACTGGTGCGTGAGTAGGAGTTGGCCCAAGGTTTGTGAATCGCAAAGGAGGCTAGAAATGTAGGCGACACTTTCCAATATATGTTTAGAACGTTATATTTACAGACTATTTACAAGTGTTTGCGTGTAAGTGTTTTTGGCTAATTTGACTTGTATTCTGTCTCTGCCATAATCTGTACCGCGACGAGGGACGCCAGGATCAGGTGGTCACGCGTAGGTTGGTCGTGTGTAGCAGTCCGTGTGTGACCTGAAACAAAGAGCTGGGCGACCAAGCGCCATAGGTTGGCTGGCGTCTCGCACCTGTGCCAGGCGACCAAGCGCCGTAAGGATCGGCGAGCGTCTTGCGCTGTCGCCGGGCGACTCGCGCCGTGAGATTTCGGCAAGCGTCTTGCGCTGTAGCCGGGTGACTCGCGCCTGTGAGATTTCGGCAAGCGTCTTGCGCTGTAGCCGGG